CCTTGCATTTGATATAGCGCTTTCACGTCGGGAGGACGTCCCAAAGCGCTTCACAGAACACACTGTAAAGTGAATTGACTGTATATTTGTGGGCGAACGCGGCAGCCAATTGCGCACAGCAATGTCCCACAAACAGTCGTAGATTGAAAATGACCAATTTATTATTGTTTACTCCACACGCCTGATAATAAACCTCAAGAAAAAAATAGTAAATTGGTCGCTTCAATCCACGACTGTTTGCGGGACACTGTTGTGCACAATTAGCTGCTGCGTTTCGCCCACAAATATACAGTCAATTCACTTCACAGTATATTCTGTGAAGCGCTTTGAAACATCTAGAAGACGTGAAAAGTACTATATCAAATGTAAGGATTACTATTATTTCATCATAAGGTGCATCAAATGCAAGGAGTATTATGCATTTACCGTTATGATGTTGTTAGTGAGTTTTTTCATTATGATACACATGATCACAAGATGCATTGCACAAGAAGACAACAAAGCCCCATCTTGCAACAAACAAGCAATAAACTGAAAATCATGCGGAGAAAGAGGGACCAGATTATTTAAAAGTAATTATACTTTTTTCAACTTTAGACTACAAGTTACTCTGTAATTTACCAGGAATAGGAGCTGCGTGACTCCCACCACTCAGATTGAGAAGCAATGTTCCGCTGCAAAGATGTTTTTCTTCACATCTGAAGTTTTAATGCTCATGAAGAACCATTCCACTCCTCCCTAGCAGATCATGGACCAGAGGCAATCCCAGGACACTTTTAAGCCATGTTCCTATTTAGTAATATAATAATCCTTGCATTTGATATAGAGCCTTATCACATTTTCAAGACGTCTCAAAACACATCACAGAATATACTATAAAGTATATTGACTGTATATTTTGTGGACGAAAGTAGTAGTTTCATTAATAATTGATTATTCTTCTAAATAAGTCCCGATGAACATAAACTTTAATGAAAGCACAGCCAAGGATTGATGCTGCAAACTGGAGGCAGGTGATGCATATCACTGCATTGCTTTTACTCACAGCCAAGTTCCGGTTGCCAGCCGGACTGCCAGTGTCCCTTTACCCATGCAACGGGTTTAGGTGGCTTGGGGTGGCAGTGTAAGGGATGGTCTGCAAAGCAAGGGAGCTGTCTACATGGCAGAGTTCAGGCTGGGGTGGGGTGAAGTGAAGGGAAAGAGGCAGGGTGACATGTTATTGAGCTAAAGGTTGGAGGCATTGAGCTTGAGAGCAATTCGTCTGCTGTGCAGTGAAAGCCCTTTGGACTCAAGTTTGCACAACTCAATCCTGTGGAAAGATTAATATGGTTAGGTTAATATTTAAGTGGATTATTATCCTCCAGGGTGAGGGTTGGGGGGGTTAAGAGGGGTCTCCCTGACATGGAATGTCAGAATTCAGCCAGCCCTTTGTGGGGGTCTCGGTAGTCCGGCTCCTGAGCCAGGCAGATCCGCAGTATTCCAGGGCACTGCTGATGACAGCACTGCCTGGAATTGGAAGGGCAGACCAGTCATCCACGCAGCACCCGTTAACCGTGCAAGCCAAATGGGTAGGGTGGTCCTAACTGCACAAGCAGCTTGAAAGCTTGCCAGACTGTGAAATCAATGCAAGCTATGCGGTTTTAGCTGGTTAGACTCCAGCAGTTACCCCAACTGCACAATCTGGGGTCCACAAGCCTTGACTCTTGCCAACCTGGGACTAATACTTTCTGCAATTTCTGCATGTGTTAAGACACTTGGCTGACCCTCCCGGAAAAAAAACACAGCTATATAATATCTTAATGCTTCTGAATGGTCAAATGGATTCTTCGTCAGCTTTTTGCATGCTATATTGTCGATGTCCTGAAGAGGGCATCACTCTTAAATCCACACAACATTTACATTTTATATCTTAAGTTATTCAACTCAATGATTCGCTGAAAGAAAGATCATAACATGCAAATATCTTAAATACTGTATTTAAATGCCAGAATCAATTTCTTGACTCACATGATAAACTAAAAGCTTCAGATCTTATTTTTTAATTGAAATTGCACAAGAGGTTAAAGATGGTTATAATCCGACTGAATGAAGAAATATCTAACCAGGTCCGCCCTCTGAGCAAGCTCTGAGCATTGCGGCATTCAAATTATTGTAGGGATTTGTGTACATTAATGAGGAATTCTGGATTCGGAAGCTAGTCTGGGACAAGCAGAAAGGCTGGGTGCACAGAGAATTGATTTTGGCAGTTCTAGAAATAGTTTGCACTTTTCACATAAATATATTTGAATGAAACATACTCCTCCATTTTTTGTAGAAATTCTCTCATTCAGTACAATCTGAAGAATATCCATTCTTGTCATCCAAGAATATCCATTCTTATGTCCAGATCATTTCAATCTACACTCTGCTTGGAGCATTCAGCCACTCGAGCGTAGGGTATAAGCCGAGGAGATTGGAGAGGTGAAAGATGACCACAGGTGCAGTCATTTTATATATATATAAATATATATATAAAATTAATAATACTTCTTGCATTTGACATAGCTCCATATCACATTTTCGAGACGTCTCAAAGCGATTCACAGAATATCCTGTAAAGTGAATTGACTGTACATTTTGTGGGCAAAATAATAACAAATGGAAGATTAACAGATTTAGATGGAATAATATAGTGCATTTTTAAACCCTTGCAGAACCCTTTGACAGTTTTGCAGGATTGGTTTTGGAACCATTGGCGAGTAAATGGATGTCACCCAAAACCACTTTAGTTAACAGCCTAAGAAACTAAAAAAAACCACATTGGTTTGGTTAACTGAGGCTGAATCCCAGGTCTCAAGATGAAGGGGTTAATCTTTCACTATTATTGTGTATATATGTACATATTAACTAAATCAAGCAATTAGTGTTCAAACCAAGTTATCTTTTTAGTAGCTATTAATAAACAGTAAGTTTTTCAACATACACCTTCTTTAAAAAGTACACACTTCATATTTGCAATCCACGAGCTTACCTTTGATATCGCTACACTCCCTTTCATCCTCTCGCTCTCTCAATTCCAAGCTTTCAACATCAAAAGAACCTGCGTATTTGCGGTTGATCACAATTCAGCAATACAAACAAACCTGTGTCTCCTTTTCCTGTGTTGCCTCAGTCCCCTATTATAGCTGGAGGGGAGCGTTCTATTCATTAGTCAACCGAACTCCGAAGACTGCAGTTGCTGAATGGAAGACAAGCCCACACCTAAACCTAGACCACAACCTGTAATGTGTTGTTTTGTTAAGCATTTAGCTCTGCCGGGTAATGGGGCCCTTCAAGTTGGGAGGACGTCAGATAGAGAAAGAAAAAAAATCTCAGTTGATCACAATTCAGCAATACAAAAAAGGGAATCGACTATGTTTTGTGGGCAAAACACAGCAGTTGCTCATGACAGTGTCTCACAAATATTCATGGATTCAGTGACCAAATTATTATATTTTTGGGAGAGATTATTACCCCCAGAAAAGCAATCTGCCAATCGATTAATAACCGGGTTCCTATTTACTGCGAGATAAAAGAGGCGTGTGGAGTAAGGAAACACGCCCAACATTTTGCCGTCTGGGAATTGAACCCAGGTTCTCTCACTTGCGAGCCGAGTGCTCTAACCACTAAACTACAGGACTCCATGTTCCAGTATTAAAATATATTTTAATGCATCATCTCATACATGGTTTAGTTTCTTTTTAAAAAGAAGTACAGGTATTATTTCACATCCGACAATCCAGCTGGTTCTTCCAACAACTGCCTCGCAGTCACAGTGCATATTATAACCCTCGGGGAAACCTTTTCCAGCAAGTCTGAGTCTTTTTTTAAAAAAAACTTTCTTTGCAAATAAAATTAAAAGCCAAATTGCTGGTACAAAGGCTCAAATTCAATCATGGGAGTTTTTTTAAATTTGTTTTAAAAAGAAAGTGCAAGACCTTGGCGAGCACTAATACCCTACGTCACTGTGCGTCTGATTAAATGGGGTCCATGTTAAAATCTGATATACGTTAGTGCAATTGGGACTCTCTTTTTTAATATTGTAGCTTATTATGGGTCCCAACTTCATAGTTGTTCAAATTTGTAAAAGAGACACGTGGAAAAGGCTTGGAAGTTCACGGGAGCTTTCTAGTGCAAGGATTCCGCAGAACAATACAATTTCCATCCAAAACTGTGCAGAATGAGCATGTTCTGCTGCAGCACATCAGTGATGGGGGCTGGGAGAGAATGAATGGAGTCAGCACAGAGGCACCTTAACCCATCAACCAAACCCCTTTGTCCGGACAAAATGTGCTACTTCCCACAGGCTCGCAGTGACATTATGCCAGGTGGCTGGAGGCGGAAAACAATAACACAAAATGTTGATATATAAAAAAAACTCATATTAGTCATTGTTCATTTAAACAAAGGGTTGCAATGTAAATCATCGGTCTGACAAGTGGCCCAGAATCAAGGTACCAGGGGGAAAAAAAACGTGCACATCTAGGCTCCTACAAAATTCAATTACTAAATTAAGGCACAAGACTTATTTTGCATTCAATTAAAATTAGAGTGCACCTAGATATCGATGGCTCCTTAGAATTGCAGCAATTGTTTTTATTCCCCCAAAGTTTGGGAAAAATCTTCCTGCACCTTTGATTTGAGTACATGTCTTGCAACTCAAAAAACCCTAAAGATCAGAGGGTCCACTCCCTCTGTCCTGATATTTAAATGTGGTTACCTCGCTTCAAGAATCATTCCATAACAATGAAACCACACGTTTCTTCCCACTTAGCATCTTATTGTTGCATTTATACAATTCCAACACAGTTTTTATTCATTAATGTAAACATTACTCAAACACTATCCCAGTCAAACCCTGGGAAGCAAGCTACCATCCAACTTATAACAGCACCAGAAGAAAAAAAATCAGGGGAAAAGCTGTTCTTTGTTTAAAAAAAATTCTGCACTCCTGCAATGAATGTATAATATGTGAACTGTGAATGTAGATATTTGTTATTTTGTATACAACGATACCAATAACATTCTGGAGCTACTAAAATAATGGGCATTTGCCTCCCACATAATGTGTGCATCTGGCTTCCGTTGAAGACACACCACTAATGACATTATCTAAGAATAAAAAAATCTGCTGTATCTAAACTGAAAACAAGCCCTTCACAGTCTGACTCTGCAGTTAATTTGACAATCAGAGGCCAGATACAAGCAAGATGGACCTGACATTCCACCCAGCATTGGCTAATAAAGACTATTTTGAATGCATTAATGTTTAAATGTTTAAAGTAGTGCAGAATTGTGAAAGATTAATTTCAGTCTCAATTTGGGATGCCACCTCTTTTTAAGAATGGCAGAAAACCCATCAAGACTGAATGAAAGTTTAAGATTTTTCCAAAATTCTGTGCCATCTTAAAACTCAAAGCAAAATAATCTCATCGACTAAAGCGAATTCCAGGCCTACTGGGTTGCTACTTTAATACCTTTCACCTGTCTGTAGAAATATCAGCCTCTATGCTTTTGTTTGTAATGCACTCTCATTATAAATCTCTTATTTTTTGCTTTTCCTCTTCAGTCACAAAAATGTGGTTCAGTTTGTTAGCCTGCCAGGGTCACACCCTTCAAAGCGAGAACCTGGCTGGTGAACTCAGACAAGAAAGCAAGCTGCACTCTGCACTCAGGCACTTCACTTTCCAGCATTGTCAAGCCTAGAGGCTGGTTACCTGGGGAGGGAAGTGGTGGGGGGAGAGAGACACACTTAAAACAGTCAATGCAGTACACTGGGGTCCTTCAACTCCAGAACAGTGCAGATCTTCCACTGCCTTTGCCCAATGAGCAGGTTCCAAATGCTGCAGTGAGGACACCTCAAAAGGAAAAGTGATCTCACTGAATACAAAACACCAGATGGGAAATTGCGGCTCGACAATTATTATACATTAAAGTAATGCTTCACACCCATTATACACATGCACACGTTTTTTTCTTAAAAAAAGTACTTGTTATACAAAATAGCCTTCTATAAATCCAATACCAAGTGAATGTCAGGACATTTCAAAAATGACCGGCACAAAAATATAGGGCTTTTAAGTTCAGATATCATTTGCAAGTCGGTGCTAATGGTTTTAATGATTACGAATAAATCCCCCTCTCCCCCCTTCCTTCCCCCTCCCCCAGAAAAACAGGTACAAATCTGATGGAGGTGGGCTGTGGATTAGTGTAAAGGTCAGAGTCGGCAAGACTCTAGCACGGCACAATATGATGGGGAGGTCCTGAAGAGCTCCGCTCCCAGGAATTACAAGGATCAAAAGTCTGTCACAGTGGATCTTGTTCCATCTCCTTTGAGCGGGTGCTTTAGCCCAGGAGGACTTTCTGCATGCGGTGCTGTGGGATGTTGAATTCATCCTCGGAGTCGCAGTCGCTCTGGGAGCTGGAACTGCAGGGGGAGAAGCACTCCGGGGAGCACAGGTAGTGCATCAGCGGCAGCCGGTACTTGCCACAGAAGTCCACAAACTTGATGTGACGGACACAAGAGTCGAAGTACACTCCTAGAGAGGAGAAATAGGAGAGGAGACAATGAAAATAATGTAAAAGTTGAATTTATTTATTTATTTTTAAAATGTATATACAGGCTGACAGAAATATAACAAACATATTTCCCAAGTCCTCTGCACTTTGGAAAAAGAATGTTATATCTGGGTGTTCACTAAACATTTAAATACTGAAATGACCGAACAGCAGTCATCCACTGAAGGAAAAGAGGAGCGGGTGTATAGGGTGAAGGGTGGTGAGAGGAGCGGGTTGTGTGAGCACCCTCGTGATTGGCTGGCGAGCACTCCTACCCTTTAGACTTTGCAGATCATTATATCAGTGGCTGCACTGCTTCAATGATCGCTGTATCAGGGTAAGAATCAATGGGAAAAAAACGGGTCTCAATGTCAAGTACGTTATAACCGAAGGGTTTATAATATCTAGGGGTCAACATGTGTGTGTGTGTCTCTCTCTCACAATTGCAGAGGTGAAGTGGAAGAGGGCAGTGGAATTGCGAGTCCTTTGTGTGTAAGATTACCTGCACACTTGGGGTTTGGGCACTTGCTAGCCGAGTCCAGGTATCTGACTAGGTTCTCCGGCAGGTTCTGCGGTGTGTAGTGGAAGTTGCGGGATTTCACGATCCGGCCAGTCAGCTCGAGCAGCGACGGAGGGTCGTAAGTCAGGTCTCGCACAAAGCGCACAACCAGGGGGTTGCCACGGAGACTGAGTTCCTCCAGATGGACCAGGTTGAGGATCTCACGAGGGAGGTACATCAGCAAGTTGTTATGGAGACTGAGTGATCGCAGCGAGTTCATCCTGAAAGAGGCCAAAAGGAAAAAATGGTGTTAAACCAAAGGTCCCTCCCTGGACCCATCTCTACTCTCAAACTACCGCCCCATCTCCAACCTCACTTTCCTCTCCAAGGTCCTGGAACGAGTTGTTGCTTCCCAGCTTTGTACCTTCCTCTCCCGCCACTCCCTTAACGAACCCCCCCAATCGGGTTTCCATGGCAAAGAAACAACCCTGGTCAAAGTGACAAGTGACATTCCGTCCATCTGCGACCAGGGCTCCCTCTGCCTCCTCGTCCTCCTTGATCTCTCTGCTGCCTTTGACGCAGTCGACCACTCTATCCTCATCCACCGCCTCTCCTCTCCCCTCAACCTTCACGGCTGTGTCATTGAATGATTCAGATCGTACCTCCCACACCACCTCATCTCCACAAACGGTTTCTCCTCTAGTCCCCGCACCATCTCGTGTGGCGTTCCTCAGGGCTCTGTCCTTGGTCCTCTCCTCTTCAACATCTACATGTTCCCTCTTGGTGATATCATCCGCAGACATGGGTGTCAACTTCTACATGTATGTGGATGACACCCAACTCTACCTCTGCCTCCACTCTCGACTCCAGGACCACTGCTGTCCTGAGAGAATGTCTGTCGGTCATCAAGTCCAGGATAAGAGCTGACTTCCTGCAATTGAACATCAACAAGACTGAAGCTCTCCTGATTGGCTCCCATCAGTGCCTCCACAGCTCAGTCGCTGACAACATCACCATCCATGGTTGCATCCTCCATCTTACTAAGCCAGTCTGAAACCTTGGCGTCTTGTTTGATCCTCAATTATCCATTCTACCCCACATCTGTGCCATGACCCGCTCTGCCTTCCCCCACCTCCACAACATCGCTCGGCTCTTATACCGCAGGCTGCCAAAACCCTCATACATGCCTTCATTACATCGAGGCTTGACTATGCAAACTCTTTGCTTGTCGGCGTCCCCAACTCCTCCCTCCATAGACTAGATCATTCAGAACTCTGCAGCCCATGTCCTCTCCCGCACCAGACTCTGTAACCCTATCACCCCCATCCTCACCCAACTCCACTGTCTTCCCATCACACAGAGGATACAGTTCAAGATCCTGCTCCTCACCTTCAAAGCCCTCCATCGTCTTTCTGCCTCCTACTTCTTTGACCTCCTAAACCCCTACCATCCTGCTCGCTTCCTCCGCTCAGCAGGCTCTGGCCTGCTTCACATTCCCCGCCTCGCTCGCCCCACTATTCGCAGGCAGGCCTTCTGCCACTCTGCTCCCACCCTCTGGAATGCCATTCCGCAGTCTCTCCGCCTCACCCCCTCCCTTGCCCCCTTCAAGACCCATCTCAAGATCCTCCTCTTCAACCGTGCTTTCGATCACCCTGCTTCCCCCCTTCTGCCCTCCACCCTCCCCGATCCCAACCCCCAGCTCGGGTCTGAAACTCTTGACTGTCCAACGCCTTGGGACGTCCTCCAGACTTGAAAGACACTATACAAATCTAATTTTTGTTGTTGTTGTAAATCAAAGACTTGTGTTAAACCTGTCAATTAGCTCCTCCAATGACTTAATGCACAAAGCAGCCTCCAATCTTCCCTGGTCCTGCATTTGAGCTACACAGGCAGAACAGTGATAAGCTGGAATCCCAGTCTGTGCTGAGTTAGCCAACCTCGGCCAGGACAGCAGTTGGGACACTACAATTGGCTTCAGTGTCCTTAAAATAGGGAGGAAACGACAAGTCAGACTGGATTCCTGACTCACGTATTACTCAGCCCCACCCACTGTATGTGAATGACAGCCATGGACAATGTTGGGCTTAGCTGTGCGACGCTCCCCATAAACCAGATTTATTTCTATGGAGTCAGAAGTTTTGTCCAGTTACTTGATCACTTGGGGAGATTGTATAGAACAGGTCACAGAAACAGGCCATTCAGCACAGCTAGTCTGTGCCGGTGTTCATATTCCATAGAAGCCATCACCCCTCCTATCCCTCTCTATACTCTCCCCTCTCCAGGATGCATAGAGGTTAGAATAGGATTTTCCATTTGTATAGCAGCTTTTACGCCAGAAGGATGTCCCAAGGCGCTGGACATTCAGGGATCTGCATCAGCAAATGGTGGTTGGGATCAGGAGGGGTGGAAGGTAGGGATAGGGTGACCGAAGGCACGGTCAAAAAGGTTCCTCTTAAAACACACTGATGCTTTTTTTTTTGCTTCAACCACAGCTTCCGGCAGTGAGTTCCACATCCTCACCATCTTCTTCCTGTATGAAGAAGTTCCCCCTAAACTCCCTGTTAGAACGGCTACTGGATATCTTCCATTTATACGAGACACTGGGAGAGAATCAGGCAGCCAAATGTCTTGTGACTAGTTAAAGATGTAGATGGGGGAAAAGTCCAACTCCTTCAAGACAGGAGGCAAGAAAAGTTCCTCCTGCAAAATTAGCAATGTAATAGTAATCCTTGCATTTGACATTGTGCCTTATCATATCTTCGAGAAGTCTCAAAGCGCTTCACAGAATATACCATAAAGTGAATTGATGGTATATTTTGTGGGTGAAATGCAGCGGCCAATTGTGCACAGCAGTGTCCCACAAACAGTCATGGATTGAGTGACCAAATTATTAAAAAAAAAATTAAAAGGAATTACAAAGCCTGGATAACAAAGCAACAATTACGATTTTGTTACTTGTTCACTTACTGTGCAAGTTGTGGCGGAATTCCCTGGATTCGGTTGTCACACAGCACCAGGTAGCTAAGGTACGGCAGGCTTGCAAGCTCTGGAGGGATGGAGGTGATGGCATTCCCCCCGAGGTACAGTAGCTCTAAGCTGGAGGAGGAATGAGAGGGAGAGAGAAATAAAATGAGAAATTATAAAAGAAACACAGCTACATACAATGGAACAAGTCATCAATTTTGAAGTAATTTTTGGGGGTGTCAGCCGAGTGTATGAAAGACATGGAAACCCATCACCATGCTTAAGAGTATCCAAACCAAGCATCCCACCTACACATGGAAATTCCAGAAATAGGATTGTTGCAATGAATTGCTCATTCTCTCCCTGGAGGGTCATAGTCTGCTTAGCTAATTCCAGAAAGTATTAACGGTTATCATGGTAACATGAATGGAGGCACCAAGCTGGACAAATGCCCCAGTTCTCGGTCTGGGAGAGTGGGGAAGGGGTGGCCTTTTATAAATCATACCAGTCTATGCACACAGCAATGTCTCATGAACGGCTGGGGAGTGAAATAGGATTGTTAGCCGGGACAGGAGGAGAAACTCCCTCCTCTTTTCAAACAATGCTATCGGTTCTTTATCAGCCACCTGAACAGACAAATAGGACCTAGTTTTTACGTCTTAACTGAAGGACGGTATCTCCAACAATGAAGCACTTTCCCATTATTGCACTGGAGTATCAGTCTGGACTGCAAACTCAAAGCCCCTGATGTGGGTAGGGCTTGAACACACAACCTTCTGACCCAGAAGCGAGTGCAACCAACTGAGTAAGGCCAACACATTAAAAAAAGTGTTCAGGACCAGATTGTTAAAAAAAAAAGCAAAGAGGCATATATTTCATAACTTGCCGGCGAGGTGGAGGGGGTGTGGAGGTAAACCAGGGATTGATTGTTTACATTTATTTTGAGAAATCGTGTTTCCATTTCCCCATAACTGATGCAATGAAACTAGAGAGCACACAACATAAAGATACAAAAAAAAGTCTCTGCAAAAAACGACCGTTACAGTAAATCCCACTTTTCTGCGATTAGCTGAATTAAAAAAAAACTTTGTGTGCCGTTGAGTTGGTTAGTTTTTGTGAAGTCAGCAGTAGTTCTAGGAAGCGAGCCAGGGTCATAAAGCTGGGGAGCAATGAAGCAGCAGATTCCAGTGAAACGAAGACTGATCAAAGGAATGTCCGTGGATAATATTTCGAGACAGTACATTTTTAAGTTATGCTGATTTGCTGTGAGAGGTGCTGCCCTAGGTCTCAGTGGGTAGGGTTGTGGGCCCCTGTTTTGTAAAACCACTTTAGCTTGAACACTGCATTGCTCAAAAACACACGCAAAAGGACATAAAGCAAGCAGAACCATTTAACATTTGTAGAGTTCCCAGCCTTTATAACAATACAAGCTCTCCCTAACATTACCAGGCCTGCTGTCTCAGAAACAAGGCTTCCATTAGATTCACACCAACAAAATCCTCACCGACCTCAACGTTACGGTATATTCTGTGAAGCGGTTTGAGATGCCTTGACAACGTGACAGGATGCTGTGTCAGATACAAAGGTTTATTATTATCATCATTATCACTCACCACTGCAAAAACACAGATTTTTATGAAGAAGCTTCTTAAAAGAAGAATGGATCAAGTTGTGGGAAACTACTACAAGCAAAATTTCCAGTCAAAGGAAAGATTTGCTTAATCAGGGAGACGTCAAAAGATCCCATGGCCAGCAATCCCCCAATAAAACGGGTCACAGTTGCTTGAAGGACATTGCCATGTGCAAATTGGCTGCTGGGTTTGCCCACAAAATAAACATTCACACCATTTTATTGTACATCCTGTGATAAGGCACTATATCAGATGCAAGGATCATATCTTATACATAAAAAGTATCTGTATACTTAGGTACAAAAACCATCAGCTAAAAGGTACACCTAACGAAAGCAGAAGAGATTTGTTTTGGTGGGGGGGAAGGGGGGGGGGGGAGGAAAGAAGAAAAAAAAAGACAACTTTCCTGAAGACACCAACATTGTACAGGTGCACAATGCACTGGTGAACCAGAACGAAGCAAGTGAGCCAAACAGCCAGTTGTCGCAGCTGGCTACTCAACCCTAAAGGAATCTTCACATTTTCCATCAAGAATTCCTGGTAGGAATGGGAACGCTGGCTGATTTCCCCTTCGCTGGGACCAAGGCCAATTATAGCTCTTGCACTGGCACTCCCTTTATTTAAGGGATAAAGATGCCTAAGAAGTGAAGCCAGATGAAAGAGAGGCCGATTAAATGAAACTGGTTGCAAGCATAGCTTCACCGGGTACAGCTAGTAAATAATAACTTATATTTGGGATAGGTCTTTTCACGTCATGGTTTCCTTGGAGCTGAACAGGCTCCAAGATAACATGCCTGGCATAGAATGTCAGAATCAAGCCAGGCCTCTGTGGCAGTCTCGGTAGTTCGCCCCCAAAACGCACAATGTCTCAGCTATGAAGTGAATGACCAACTTTATTTCCGGGGAATTGTTGACTAAGACACCAGGAGAAACTCCTTTCTTCTCCCCATCCCCCAACAGAACCATGGGATCTCTAACATCCATCTGAACAGACACATGGGGCCTCTGTTTAACATCTTATCCAAAGGACGGCACCTCTGTACTGGAGAGTTATCTAAAATCATATGAGTTCCAAGTCCCGTGTGGGCTTAAACCCAACATGTACTAACTGAAAAGCGAGTGCTATCAACTGAGCCAGGCTGACAAAGGGATATCAAATGCATTGTTATTATGTTATATTGTTATAATGCATATTTCAAGCAGCCAGCAAACAATGCTAAAAAAAGGTTTATATTATAACAGCAGCAAAAGATGAGATATCAGGCAGTAACGGAAGTACTAATGAGGCAAACAAACTTGCAAACATTTTAATCATATCAATGATGAGCACAAATAAAATATGTTCCTGGATTTAATCCAAAGTCAATTTACACTGGATAATCTTTGGGTGGTCAGAGAGTGCAGATTAGTGTAGGGCAGAATGATCTTAAACAGAAACAACTGTAGATAAAGAGTGAACGCGATTAAAAATGCACAACTCAACACTGCAACATTGCTAATTTTAGGGAAACAAAATGCTGTGCCTATTGTTCATTCTTACATGAATAAAGCAAGTATGTGCAAATTAGATCATCAAAACCAATGGTTTTTCCTCTCGGCCCCGCCTGGTCACCTGCAGGGTACCCTAAAGCTCCATCCTTGGCTCCCTTCTTTTCCTCCTCTACATGTCATCCAAAACATGAGGTCAACTTCCACACCTATGCGGTCAGCGCCCATATCTACTACCCCTCCTCCAGCTACATCTCCCAGTTCGCTGATGTCCTGTCAGCTTGTTTGATGGTAATCAAGGTCTGGAGGAGTGCAAATTTCCTTCAGCTGAATGTTGGCAAGACGGACACCATATTCTTTGGCTCCTGTCAACGTCATCCCTCCTAAACCTCACCGTGGCTCTCTCTCAGACTCCCCGAACCAGTGCACAACGTAGGCGTCCTCTCTACCACACATCCGTTCCCTGACCAGGACTGCTTTTTTCATCTCTGCCACACTGCCCGTCTCCGTCCGTACCTCATAACCAATGCAGCTGAAAACTTCGTCCACGCTTTGGTCGCTTCTCGGCTGGACTATTTTAATGCCCTCCTCGCTGGTTTCCCCAGCTCCAACACCCAAAATTCAGTTAATTCAAAATTCCACCACCTCTATGTAAAGCACTCCGGAACGCTACCCTGCGTGAAGGGTGCTATATAAATGCAAGTTGTTGCATCTTCAATTGTAACTTCCCACGACAATTTGGGAAGTCGGGCAACTGCATTTCTAAAAAAATATATAAAGCAAAACAACATCTCAATACAGATGAACCACAGACCAGAAGTCGAGATATTTGTAGAGTCCTGTAGCTCAGTGGTTAGAGCGCTCGCCTCACAAGCGAGAGACCTGGGTTCGATTCCCGTCAGGGTGAAACCTTGGGTAGGTTTCCTTACTCCACACACCTGCTAATAATCCCTCAAGAAAAAAAAACAATAATAAATTGGTCACTTCAATTCACGACTGGTTGTGGGACACTGCTGTGCGCAACTGGCGGCTGCGCTTTGCCCACAAATATACAGGCAATTCACTTTACAGTCTATTCTGTGAAGCGCTTTGAGATGTTTAGAAGACGTGAAAAGTGCTATATGAAATGCAAGGATTATTATTATTAGGGTAAACAAAGGCAGGAATTACTGAAATATTATGAAGTCTACTAACTAAATAAATGGTGGTGGAATCACGAATAAAGCACCGGCCTTGGCTCACAATGTTTAATGAACATTGGTGAAAGAATGAATGGTCTAATTTTAGATCCACATCCCGGCTGCTAGGGCGACTGGAGGGTGGGGGTGAAAAGAGAAGGATATAATGCTCACGTAAAACATGCAGATGGATCCAGCCAGGAAAGGATGGAAATCTCATCTCAAGGTCTATTTTTCAAAAACAAAACAAGCAGCATGACCAAGTGTTGTTGATGCTATCAATAATAATAATCCTTGCATTTGATATAACGCCTTATCGCGTCTTCGAGACATCTCAATGTGCTTCACAGAATATACTGTAAAGTGAATTGACTGTATATTTTGTGAGCGAAACGCAGTGTCCCATAAACAGTAGTGGATTGAGTGATCAATTTTTTTTTGGAGAGATTATTACCCTCAGAAAAGTGATCCACCAATCGATTAGCAACCGGGTTGCTACTTACTGCTATGTAAACAGAGGCGTGTGGAGTAAGGAAACTTGCCCAACGTTTCGCACTGCCGGGAATCGAACCCAGGTCTCTTGCTTGGGAGGCGAGTGCTCCAACCACTGAGCTCCAGGACTCCACAACGACAACATAATCTGCAGACTCTGCAATATGACATGTTTGAGATGAGTAAACTTTGAGCCCAGTTTGCATCATCTGAAGCCAATAAGAATTCAGGCATGAAAAAAATTCTCGAGATAGCCAGTGAATTATTTCAAATCAGTGAATGAATAGAAACTCATTAACCTCCACACCCAGATGGTTGCGAACTGGTCAAAACCCAACACAAA